CTTTATTGTACCCCTTTGTTGACATTTTTTTAACTCTGTTTAAACAAAATAAAAATGTAAATACTAAGGATTAAAAAGTTGAGCTATTCAAAGACGAGGAGTGTATGTGGCGTACGTTTGGGAGAGTGGGCCTTTTTACTCCAGAATGCGTGTGCAGTGGCTCTAATTGGTATAGGCAAGATATAAGTGTGGTACTATTAGAACGTCCCCGTGAATTCCCTTGATAGCTTGAAATACTGTTGCTGGAAAAAGCCATCTGGAGTGGGTATGTAAAACATGATGTGCGATTAGTAAGGTCGTGCTGGCCATTCGTATAAGCCTCCGCTTAGTATTCAATGAACGTCGTAGGAGAGGAAGAGGGAGGTCCCCACTGAGATGGAAAGACCAGGTGGAGAAGAAGGACTTGGCTTCACGTGGCATTTCCAATTAGCGTCAGTTGACACAGAAAAGAAACGACTGGCGTGCTTTGTTGAACTCGGCCAAAATGGTTAAGGCAGTTACAGCGCTAAATAAGAAGAAGATGTACAAATATTTTGTTGGGTAAATTCTATGAACAGAAAAATTCTTTCTACCTAACATGCGCGAAAACTATTTTTTTCTCATAGGAATAGCGAAGAAAGTTTCTTTGTAGCCCGAACTAGTTCTAGGATGGTCCCGAACTAGTCTCGGAATGGACCTTTAATGTCAGCTCCAGCAGCTTTGTTGTTTTTCAGCCACGTTATTGCTATTCGTACCTCGTCATAGTCAGACGGAAGAACATCGACTCCGTCATCATCGACTGGGGCTCGGATTCTTCTTTTCCACCACTTTCCATGCAGCTACCATTAAGTAGGGTGGAAAAGTGTTCCCTCCATAATTTAAGTACGTTCTGAACATCGGACATTTTCTTACAGGAGTACGCCCTGGTCTTGAAACCTTCCGTAAGCCGCCTAATTCTCTGGAAAAATTTTCGGGCATTCTTCTTGTCGGCCAGCATTTCAAGCTCTTCACACTAACGTATTTCGGCCTCTCATATTGCGGCAAATACTTCCCTTTTCAGATCCCTATAGCGGTCCCACATAGCGCGCGTTGCGCCCAATCGCTGTGTGGCCCTGTGGCGGCATCTGTTTTTTCTACAGCTTCCTGTCACTCCTCATCGTACCAGTTGCTCTTTCAGGCTCGCTAAAATCCANATAGCGCGCGTTGCGCCCAATCGCTGTGTGGCCCTGTGGCGGCATCTGTTTTTTCTACAGCTTCCTGTCACTCCTCATCGTACCAGTTGTTCTTTCAGGCTCGCTAAAATCCAACTACTTCCTCGTCGGCGGTACTTAATGAGCGGGAAATGTGGTTCCACTGCTCGCATATGTCGGTTTGTGGAAAGGTGCTCTCTGAGAGCAGGTATGAGAGTCGAGTAGCGAATTCATTGGCTGTCTGTTGTGATTACAGCTTTTCGACGTTAAGCTTTCTTGCATATTTGGGCGCACATTTGATACGTTCGCGTATAAAATCATAAATGTATATACGCTAACGTTCATAAATTACCTTTTTGGTTGTTGTTTCCGACAGGGTGGGTGTATGATGTATTATGGAACGAATTTCCGTCATTCCATAATACTTCATATATTGCCTTGCTTATACGATGCTTCAATTCGTTCTAAGTCAAACCATGTTATTTGGACACACACATGTAAACACATTCTTGAATCGAATTGAAACATTTAACCGTGCCACCATAAATCACATTTTGAATGCGAGTTAAGAGTTGTTGAATCGTGTTAAGAGTGTATAAACATGGGATTTGGCCACACGGTTGTTTCATGCAACGCTGTATGTAGTAAAACATTTGAATAGTTCTTGAAATTACATTTAGGCTAAGCTTTGTTATAAAATTAATAGCTAATTTCCTTTTTACAAGGCTGTTTGAGTCTTTGATTATTATTTTTCCGTGTTTATTTTTTTTAAGAATTGTCACATGTATTAACAAAGTTGTATTGGGATTAACTCTGTTTGAAAGCGTGTTGGATCGACTCATTTCTTTTCTTGCATATAAACACTTGTATTTCAAGCGAGCTACACTGATGCGAGTTAATTCGATACCGCGTTTGATGCCATATAAACAAGGTATATGAATATNCCAGTTGTTCTTTCAGGCTCGCTAAAATCCAACTACTTCCTCGTCGGCGGTACTTAATGAGCGGGAAATGTGGTTCCACTGCTCGCATATGTCGGTTTGTGGAAAGGTGCTCTCTGAGAGCAGGTATGAGAGTCGAGTAGCGAATTCATTGGCTGTGTGTTGTGATTACAGCTTTTCGACGTTAAGCTTTCTTGCATATTTGGGCGCACATTTGATACGTTCGCGTATAAAATCATAAATGTATATACGCTAACGTTCATAAATTACCTTTTTGGTTGTTGTTTCCGACAGGGTGGGTGTATGATGTATTATGGAACGAATTTCCGTCATTCCATAATACTTCATATATTGCCTTGCTTATACGATGCTTCAATTCGTTCTAAGTCAAACCATGTTATTTGGACACACACATGTAAACACATTCTTGAATCGAATTGAAACATTTAACCGTGCCACCATAAATCACATTTTGAATGCGAGTTAAGAGTTGTTGAATCGTGTTAAGAGTGTATAAACATGGGATTTGGCCACACGGTTGTTTCATGCAACGCTGTATGTAGTAAAACATTTGAATAGTTCTTGAAATTACATTTAGGCTAAGCTTTGTTATAAAATTAATAGCTAATTTCCTTTTTACAAGGCTGTTTGAGTCTTTGATTATTATTTTTCCGTGTTTATTTTTTTTAAGAATTGTCACATGTATTAACAAAGTTGTATTGGGATTAACTCTGTTTGAAAGCGTGTTGGATCGACTCATTTCTTTTCTTGCATATAAACACTTGTATTTCAAGCGAGCTACACTGATGCGAGTTAATTCGATACCGCGTTTGATGCCATATAAACAAGGTATATGAATATTTCCGAGCCCTGAATAGCATTGATGATAACAATCTTATTATGTTAAATGTGTTATGTAGAAAAAAGCGTGGGATTAACGTTGTACATTTTAACGCCCGTACCTTAAATAGTGTAAAAATGGATTATGTATGTCAGATAAGTGTTCGAGTCCTCCACTGTTGATGTTATATGCGTGTCAGAAACTTGGTTGATTTACTAAGGATATTAGTGATGTTCACTAAGGATATTAGTGATGTTCACTGATTCAAGCGTATGCGAAATGATCGAATCTGCAAAAGACCACATAAGCATGAGTCAAGTACGGAGGAAATTAAGTTTTTATTCGTTGAGTTGTCCGATCTCCTAAAATAAGTTCTTGTCTCTTGTCTACGATGCTTATTGACTATGATAATCTTATACTCTCTGGTAATTTTAGTATCAATATTCTTGTCCGTGATAAAATATGTTCCTCGTTTTCAGGTGATGTCTCAAGTCTTGCTTTCTCCATTGTTAATTCTTCAGCTCCCTTTAGGTTCTGTAAAAATTGTAATCCTAGTCTTCTTGATGAAAAGTGTATACCTTCAGAGACTTTCGCTCAATCGACTTAAATGTATTGTGTTTTGAACTAGAAAATGTTGTTTTGGATGATGGTTGGTATTTTGGCTCTGTAAATGAAAAACTCGGTTTTTATACCCGAGCCCACTAGTGCACAAGGGTATATTAACTTTGTTGTAGACAAATGTATACAAAAGGCTCAGAATGAATAGAGAAGTCGATTAAGCCATGTCTGTCTGTCCGTCCGTCTGTCCGCCTGACCGTCCGTCCATGTACACGATAACTCGAGAAAAAATTGAGATATATCAACTAAATTCGTTTTGTAGGTTTCCCTTTACCCAAGGTAGGTTGGTATTGAAAATGGGCGAAATCGGGCTTTAACCACTATAACGGTATTTTCGAAAAATGCAAAAACTACGATATTTCAGTAAATATTGGATCCAAACTGTTGAAAAATAGTAAGTGAAGTCGAATTTTGGTAAAAAA